AACATGGAGAAAGTCATTGGCTTGTGAGCAAGCTAATCGCTTCGGCGCGGGCGTTTCCTTGCCCGCCGGAAAGTAAAAGGCGGGCAAGAAAGAGAGGAAGAGAGAATGTAATTAACGATAGACTAATTCCGTCTATGAGAAATAGCGGTACTTCTTGTCGCTTCATGCTATTTGAACCAAGGTAAGGTAGGGCAGGATGGGTAACTTGACTAGTGAGCAGACTTCACTTTATTACCCTTTCACGAGGTTCCTAGACAGTTCTGTTATAGTGTGCAAGTAAATTTAACAGCAGTGAGCGAGCCTGCAAAGGACCATCATAAATAGCAGAGCGACTTTTGTGACATGCACAGCTAGATTGTGCGCGCTGCAACGGGCCAAACAAAAGAAACAAGAGGACATCACCACTCAAACTTCCATCACGAACACTACAAAACGGTATAAAATACATTCACTCTGAAGAGCGCACGAAAAAAAGATCTGTTGTTTTCGACAACGTTTTCAGTGGTCAACTTCGTCATAGAAATATGCAACAGAAGGCTCAGAGATGTTCTTATAAATTACCTGAAGAGCTGCAGCTGACGAAGTTGGGGCGAACCGGCTACATTGCGTGAGTAGGCTGTAACACAAGAACATTCGTCGTCAGCAAGAAAATTTAACAATACCCATTGACCTTTTAAAGTATCATGATCTGAAAACAAATTTTCCGTTGCGTATAATTTACATTTGTTTTAAATTAGTGCAAAGAATTTGTTGTTACATCAAAGTAACATTTACTAAGTTTTAGAGGTGTTTTTTCTCATAACCTGTTTGCTCGGTATAGCATTGCCATGGTATGGAGAAGATACATTCTAATCACTTGTAAGAGTTAGAGATATATCACCTGCGGTTAAGTGTGAGGCCTTACGAGACGCGAGCCGGCAAGGGGTCTAGCACCGATTATTGGTGCTAGACCCCCATAAAACTCTCACGTCTCAAATCTTCCCGCCGGTGGAGAAGCGGGCGACTTGAACTACAAATAATGAGAGCATGCTCAGGCTAGGTTTTTAGCGGAAACTCCTTCACACAACTTGTGGTTTGATTTTAAAAAATTGCTTTACGAGTGTTTCATTTGCCCAAGCGTCTCTTTGAGAAACAAAAGCTGGCGCTAGCTGTCTACCACTTAAAAACGACAATTTACACTTTTTTAAGCTTACCAACGTGCTTCAAATGAAACCAAATATCCCGCAGGACCCACGAAAGACGTTTTAGCCGCAACATAAAAGAGAATACCTGAAAGAAACAAAACATTATTCCTACAACCCTCCATTTAGTTTAAGGTTTAGATTGATACCTCTAACAGCACACACCTGTACTGTTCAAAACAACTCCAAGTTCATTTAGTAAGTATTTTATCATATGACACTCGGACCAAACTTTTTCATTTTGAATTTGCCGGCTTTCGCCACCAAAAATACACGGATTAAGGTAGTTTCCGTGGAAACGGTCTGTTCTGTCAGAACAGTCAAATTTAGCTTTGGACTACTTTGCCCTGAGAGAATTAATTTCTTTCAAATAAATTCAAACATGATTTCTTACCTTGTTGTATTTCACGACAGACTTTTCCGTAATGACTATATTGAGGGGCCAATCGACCTGATGAGATGAGATGAGTTAAAATGAAAACAAACGAAGAAAAAAATGTAGTGGACAACTTGAAAAAGATTTGCAACAGCAAGGTGATGTTTTGTCTTGGACTACTCACTCTGTACCGCAACTCAAGAAAATCCAGGGTCCCCATTTCTAGTTAAAAAAGATCGGATAAAACATTATTACATAAGAACATATAAAAAAATTAAGATTGTAAGTACTGAGCGTATTTCGGTCGAGAGCCTGGAACCAAATTCAAAGAAATCTATCAGCCAATCAGGGCAAAAGAAAGTATCACAAGGATTCAATTAAAAGTTAGAGAAAAAGCACGTCAACTGCCTGAAGCGCGGGAAAAAAGAAGGTGCAAATTTCCTGTTGGTTTTGGTTTTGCATCTGATTAGTCGAAGGTACACGAACTTTTTGGACAAATCACACCTTGTACGGTTGGAGTTCCAGTCTTCCTAGGC